TCCTAACACAGTTCCAACCTCAGCTAAACAACTCAGCTTCCAGCCTTGCCTCAGGTCACCCCCTCATCCAGGACTCCAGCCAACGCCCCCAATCCAAAATCTCTTCCCACCCAGAGAACCCCTTCTTTTCCTTTATTGGCTGTCAAGGGTCAGGTGACTCCCTCTGGACACACAAGGCTGGTTTGTTCTTTGAAGGGCCAACTGCTCCCCACAACACTAGCCCAGTAAGCCTTGTGTCAAGTCAAGTGAAGAACTGCCCCCAGACCTTTAATGGTCCAATCCCAGCAGAGTTGACATTCTAGTTGTGGCACAGCATTCACAGAGACACAATGTACATTTCTGCCATATTTTTATCTATATATACACAGATCCATAGAAACCTGGGCATCCAACCTCAGGGTACAGGTAATCCTGTATGATAATATATATATATATTATCATTATTATTCTCATAGGAAAATCCTAACACCTGAGCATATTTGTAACTCCACCCTCCAGTTTTACTACTTGATCACAGAAGAGTGTGAAGAAGCCTCAGGAGCTGACTTCAAGATGGTTAGATTCTGGTACCCATAAGAAATGTTGAAATATGATTTTTGCAACCAGCACTGCATTCCTCTCAGGAGAGACACAAGGTTTAGGTTGCAATACAATTCAGTAGGAGTTTTAAAGGCTTTATTTATATATACAAAATAGGCCCCATGAGTTTCTGCTCTTAAAAAATAGCAGCTAAAAATACTTAAAATAAACAAGAAAAATTAAAATTAATACTCTATCATTATCATAACATTACCAAAAATACAAAGAGCAAAATTTATCAATGAAGCAACAACAAAATTGAAGGTTTGTTTAAAAAGGAAGGTTTTCAATTGCCAGGAGAACAGAAACAGGCTATCCTCATGTCTCTCAAACTGAACATGCCTCGCTAACCATTTTTACATGACATCGCCTTTGTCTGATCCGTAACCCACAGGGGAGGCAGCTTAAACTATTTAGCTGTTTAGCGGTTTCTGTTTTAAAGTTGTGTTTTCCTTTTCCTGACCCAGTTTTTGCCACAGACACAATCTAGGACAATTTATTAACCCCTGATGACCCAGCCAGATGTTGGGATGCTGTAGGCACACACTGTCCCCTTCTGCCACTAGGCACTTCCCTCCACGGACATTTTAGCCTGGGCCACAGGAGACACCAGACATCTGGCTGCCACAGAAGCATTTGCCCAAGTAATGGCTGATGGGTGCTTTCCAAATCACTTCTCAGGTTTTCTGCAGGTTTCATAAATCTATATCTACACCTATACCTACAGGTTTAGTGCTCTTTTTAAAGATCAATAGGCCTGATTTTTAAAGATGGGTCTTAGCATTCTTGTGAAATACAGAACTAGCATTCTGAGTAGAGCTTTCTCTATTTTCTCCTGCACCCTTCCTCTGTATCTGTGACTTGTCAGTGAGGCAATTTTGGGATGAAGGTTTAATGCTCTTGCAAAACAGTGCTAGACCCATTTCCAAAATATCCCAAGGAACAGGACACAAACACAGAGCCCTACCGCATCTCTGACTTGTCACTCAGACAACTCAAAAGGTGGTGTCAAGCTCTTTGACATTTGTCAAAATCCAAATGTGATTCTTTTACAAGCTCAATTTTCACAAAGTCTCTTTAGCAAGACTTATTGAGGGAAAGAAATGGGGATGGGATTGCAAGAATTCCAACAAAACCACATATCCCAAAAGGACATCAGAATAGAGATTTCCTTATTTTCCTTTTTAACTGTCTTCCTGTGAACCAGTGAATCGGCATGTTTTTTTACTAATAATAAGGAGCTTCCAGTTGGTTGTTTACCAGCCAGTCTTCTGAACCTTATCTGTCCAGGAATGAGCCATTACAGGTAGCTAAACATAGGCACCCACCCACACGTACTGAATTCTGTCCCAAGGCATGTTAAGGAGTTCTACAGGTAATTGTGTTTCCCATCAGCAGGTGACACTGAGAGGGGAAATAATGCCAGAAGAAGCCACTTATCATTTTCTGTAACTTATATTACATTAAAATTTTAAGGACTGTCCCAATCACTGTCCTGGTTCACAATGTATAATAGGGTTCAGCAGGTGGGGCAGTACAATTTATGCTGGCGTATTTTCTGCTGATCTGAGGATCACAGGCTCCCAACTGTACCCACAGAAAGGAAGGTGACATATCCTAATGGTGAGCAATGGGACACCTATGAACACCCGTCTATCCACTAGATCCCAAACTCTTGCACTTCAATAAATAAAGAGATGACATTTTAAATTCAAAGTAGCTCATGAGATTGTAAAAGTAATCTCATGAAATTTGGCAATCTTCTGAGAATCTGCATAAGAATTACAAAATTTTACATCATCTCACTGAAATCTCACTAGCTTTCAATGTTTTCCCAGGCGACCTTGCTGGAGATCAGTAAGCATCTCACAAAATGTGGGAGATTTCATGTGAAAACTTTGGTTAAAATTGTCAAAAGCTTTTTTTAATATCGTTTTTATTTTGATTACGATAGTAAAAACTAATATAACCTAAACTTACAGAAAGAGAAGAGAAGAGAAAAAAAGAATAAAAAGTGCAGGAAAAGAGAAAAAGAAAGAAAAGAAGAAAAGAAGGAAAAGAAAGAATATAAGAAAGAAAAAGAAAAGAAGTCCAACTTCCAACCTTCATCACAAGTATAGACAAATTTAGTTACTTTTCACCTCCATAAGGTTACAAACAGATATCTCTTCGTCCCATATCCCACCCCTTATCTAGTCAAAAACTTTTTCGAGTGTGTACAATAGTTTGTGTACAACTTTCAGTAGTGTATCTTTTCAGACTTGATCACTGTTGAGCTCTGTATGTAATTCAGCAATGGCAAGAAACTCTTTTGTGTTTTAAAGTGGAAATTTTGCAAAAAAGCATTTCCAGGAAGTTGAGTTAACTACTCTTAAAGTGCACAGCCTTCAGC